GGCCCCTATAACTTCGATGTTGGATTATGACTTGAAATGGAGCGAGTATGATGAGTGTACTACTGATGATTTTTCTTTAAAATGTGTATGTGCTTAGTATACCATTATATATATGTATATTTAAATTTATCTAAGCATGCTGAAGTCGGAAAGCCAAATTTTTGGGCGAGAGTAGAATAGCTTCGCTTATGTAAAAGCTAGTAAGTTGGTATTGTAGTCAGTAATTTAGGTTCGAAATCATCGAATTAGGTATATAAGTTTTTGAAGTTATACTTCTTTAGCCGCGTTATGAAAAAATTATGAGAGTGAAATTTTAAGATGCGCGCGCATCACTGTAACACAAAAGTAACATAATGAAGTTAGCCGCGGGCGCGTTATGAAAAAATCATGTGAGTGAAATTTCGATATGCGCGCGCATCACTGTAACACAATAGTAACACCATGAAGTTGGCCGCGGGCGCCATATGAATGTTAGTGTCTAATAATGGTGGATTATTAACCACTTAGTGGTTAATAATCCACCATTATTAGACATCTGTTCGGAAGGTACTTTGAACGATCCACGGAGCTCCATAAGATGATCGCGTTGTCAAAAACAATGTTGGCACGCTCGTCGCCTCTGATCACTGTTTTCATATTTATAATATTTATCCACATGTTTCTAGTTTCTATATAGACACAACGTGTTTTAGTTACTTACAAGTGCTAATTACATATGGACTAATAACTTAAATTCAGTAGTGATTTTAATTGAATATTTTGAATATTTATTTAATTTTTCAAATTAAAACTGAACTTAATTGACTGTGTTAACTATCCTTTTCCAGTCCTTTTATTATTTTATTGTAATTATTAATTATTTGCATGCAATTAAAAAATATTTTTAATGATGCTAAAGAAGTATAACTTCTCATACGCGTACATAAGTTACACGCATCCATTTTTTGGTAATAAACGTTGGTTATCGTTTTGTGATCTGACAGGAACTAGGGACTTTGTATTTGATGTGAGGAGGGCCCCTAACGATCGCGGGGCTCTGGGCACTTCTGGGAAAAAGCGGTCTGCATAGAAACAGAAACACACACACTTACTCTCCAAAAAAAAACTATACCTACATATTTCCACACTTACGCATTCACTGATCACTCCTTTTAGTGTTTTATCAACCATTCATGTTGGTAGAATCGATTTTGTATGCGTATTTTTTTATTTTTCTTTGCCAATATGGAGAATCCAATAAGGAAGTGATCAAACGCAGAGATGACTAAACATCAATACAAGAACAAGGCTTTACAAGAAGTGATCGAATTCAGAAGAGATCATAACTAGAAAAAGCCTTATTAAGAACTAGTCCGTAAACGTCAAATCATTATTGTTTGGCTACGTTAACTTTAATTTAGCACTTTAAAAAAAATCGTAAGAACTTTCTACAAAGTAGTTATGAGAAATAAAAGAAAAGTTACAGAAAATCGATAGTCTTCTCCAAGTTATGGCGTGACCAAGGGAAAAGGGGGTATTATTATACCAAGATTTTAGACTCTGAACTATACTTAATAAATGGAAAAGTTTAAATTGAAAACAAAACTGCAACTTAGTTAGGGAAATATTTCAATGATACTCAAAACATTTATAATTGTTTTGAGTATCATTTAAAAGAAAATAAGAAAGTTGTGCGAAACTAAAGTCCACGGGCCAATGCCTTTAATATTGTTAACGATTTGTCGTTTAAGGATCAGTACCCCTAGCACGAACCTTACGAATTCGATATTGGTTCGTGCTAAGGGTACTGTACCCTTAGCACGAATGAATATCAAATTCGAATAGTTTGCGAGGCCGAAATGTCAATGTCAAATGTGTACTGATTTTTAGTTCTCGTTACGTACTTTGTGGCGCTTCTGTTCAAGCTTCCATACTAAATTTGACATTGATATTGCACACTCGCAAACTATTCGAATTCGATAATGGTTCATGCTAGGGGTACAGTGACATTTCGGACTCGCAAACTATTCGAATTCGATAATGGTTCGTGCTAGGGGTACTGTTCTTCATTGGTCTTTTTCTAGTTATGACCTCTCCTGGATGCCATCATTACTTGTAAAGCCTAGTTCTTGTATGGACCATTTCTGCTTTTCATCACCTTTCAAAAGTCCCATTTTGTTTTTGCCAATCAATCATGATTTTATTATACACTAGCGACACTATCTACACTTCCAGACACATCTATCCGGCTAACGGTATGTAGCAAAAATATATGTTACTTAATAATATATTTTTAAAAACATTCGAAAATGATGTTTAATAAATCAGTTTCAAAACTGCGTAAAAACTTTTTGCTCGTGGTAGGTACTATCGCGGAATTTTGCACTCTGTCAATTGGCGAACAAAATGCTTTGAACGGTTTTCTACAGTAGTTTTTACTACGCCCCGCCTGCGCGTCGGACGCGCCAATCCGGGCCGCCGCACAAAAGTAAGACTGAGAGCATTTCATTGATTGAATAATGAATTGAATTTCATTTGTTTTAATTGCAATTTGTCATGCGTATCGTGATCGTGATCGTATACGAAAAAGTAAGACAGCGATAATTACATGTCTATAAATGAATTTTTACTACGCCGCTACCGCAAGCGATTATGGCATTATGGGTGACAGAGCGGGTCTTTCCGCGAGTGTACCTAACATTTATTTTTAACTTGGGACCGTCAAAACTTAAACCGTTAGGTGGGTCTATAGATGTGTCCAAGAGTACATATTTGCGCTAGCGATTCACTTCCACTTTTGCCCCTCAGGTTCGAGTAGTCTAGAGGGTCCAGACGGAGAAGGGACTCCCCCCGTGAGGAGATGCCATCCGCCTGGAGTACCTCTAGAGACACTCGCCAATTCTCGGCTTGAGGTCCCGTAGAAGTCCCGTTAGGATCTCGCCGTCCCCAAACCCGGTGACGCTGTAAAGGTCATCTGCGACCAACAGCATACACACTCGAAAGAAAAAAAACCTTTCACTTCGCAGAAGGGCAAAATACCCATTTATCAAGTAGAAATCAAATTATTAATTCCTTTTATGCATACCTCGTCCTCAAAATTACGTACACGACAAAAACAGGTCAACAAGTGCGAATCATAGTCGAGTGGTTATGAATTTTCCGGGATGTCTGTATTAATATATGAATGGCGTTTTAAGAAACGGGACAGTTCCGAAACTCTAATAGCAGTGATCTGTACCCCTAGCACGAACCATTACCGAATTCGAATAGTTTGCAAACCGAAATGTCAATGTCAAATTTTGTTTGGAAACTTGGAACAGCAGCGGCACAAAGTACGTAACGAGAACTAAAAATCAGTACACATTTGACAATGACATTTCGGACTCGCGAACGCTACGAATTCGATATTGGTTCGTGCTAGGGGTACTGCAGTCCCATTCTATTAGAACATACTCACTTTTCACCGGGGTATTCGCCGGGGTGATTTGAAATTTATTAGAAAATCGTGTTCTAATTTCGCGGATTCTTAGGTTAAAAGACAGAATAGCACTGCATATAGCATCAATAAATTGAATTAACATCATCCATAGTATTAGTATTAACAAAGCAGTATTTGATTCAATAAGTTGAAGCTAGAGGATGAGACGTAAGATTGTAATCAGATCACAATACTGCTGACGGCGCTACCTAGTGTTATGCCCCGGGCTCCCCAATAAAAGGCCCGGCCAGGTCAGGGTCGGCCGAGCCCTGATTTATCAACCGTTCGGGATCTCCTCCGATATTATTTGATCCCTCCGTGTTTGGCCGTGACCCTACTAATGATGTAGGCGAAGCTTTCTGTCTACAAGCGAATTTATTGAATGTTACGAAGCTTTCGTTATTCCAGGAAGTCATGATAATAATTATGTGACAGAACTAGAGGTGCGCTGCGGTTTCACCCGCATTTCCTTGAGCGAAAAGGTTATAGTGAGTCCCCCGTAAAAGATAGACATATTTTAGAGAACTTTTAAAACGGAACACTTGAATTTTGTGTAACTTTTACGAAGAAAGGAAGCTCTCAATCGGAATATATTTTCCCGTTCTTGCAACATTTTCTTAATGAAAAATGTTACAAAAACGGCATCATGTGCTCCGCTCCTATTGTTCGTAGCGTTATGTTAAAATTATATGTTACGTACGTACGTTATAGGCGTCGAAATATACTTGTACACTGGTTAAGTAATTCGCTGTGCACCTATTTATGCGGCCGCTTATGACCTAAATTAGTCCATGTCATGGTATCAATTATTGCAAATATAAATGTATAAGGCACCGAACAATTAAAATTAAACAAATAAAAGGTAAAAATATTTTCAAACCTAATAGAGTATGAATCGCCGAGCCAATTTTAATTTCTTTAATAAATTTTTAAAATTAAATCTGTCATTGAATGTATAGCACAGACAAAAGAAATAATATATCTATGGTTGAAAGTATAAAAAGAGAAAAAAATGCATAAAATGTCATTAAAAATGAATCAACAAAATGTAGATAAATGAGCGGAATATACAAGCAACTGTATGTATTTTATTATCTCAAGCAAATTGTTGTGCTTTCAGTGCCATTGTTTATCGGTTTTACAAGAAAATATTTGCCATGAAAATAATAACAAACAACAACAACAACAACAAAAATCAGTAACAAGTAAGAATTGCTGTAAAACTGGTAAAATTGAAGAAGTAAAATCGAAGAAACCGTTCAGAATTTTTTATTAGCAGGAGCGAAATACTAAATGCTGAGTCGACGTCCCATTTTACGATGTATTGAGGCTATTCGTATAACGTATTGTGTTCATCGAATGTTTATTCAAGGAAAAAGTATGAAATTGTTTTTTCGTATCAAGGATACGTAGTATTTACACAATACCTTCTTTTACTTGATTTATAATTAGCGAATTCAACTAAAATATCCACTCTTTAAGCCGTTTTGGTCCCGGTTGCATCTGCAGTGGTTAGCACCCGCCAATCCGCACTGGGCCCGCGATGTGGGTCATGGCCCGATCTCCTTATTCCATTCACAGGGAAGGCCTGTGGCCCAGCAGTGGGGACCAACGGCTTATCGTGCCTTCCGAAGCACGGAGAAACTCGAGACAGAAGATTTATGGTCACCCATCCAATGACAGACCTTTGCGAAGGTTGCTTAACTTCAACGATCGCAGCCGAACACGCTTACCACCTGCGCCATCGAGTTCCTCGATATATTTAGACACTGGCTTATAATAAATAAATATTACTATGAGACAAGACGATTAAAGTCATAGAAAAAGTACGACGTCCTTGCCTCAAGCTTGTTCCCTGAGGTCTGTCACGGTCAGCGCGCTATCAATCCACACTGGGCCCGCATGTGTTTTATTTATTTATTTTTATTTGGGAAACAAACAATATTTTATTACATTAAGATAAATTAAATATAGATTAACATACATCAACAAAGTTTCCACTAACAATTAAGTAGTACAGTTATGAGCAGCTGCATATTTAATAAAAAATCATATAAAGTTAAATTAAATACGACATTAATTGAATTGAAATAAAAAACAAACAAAAACAAAGCAACAGAGAAGTTTACACAAATCAAACTGACAAATTAATAAATTTTAATAATAACAGTTCATTCACATCATTTTTTTTTACTTTGTTCATCGTCATCATCAGTCCGGCACTGCTGGGGCGCAGGCTTATAGATAGAATTTACCATGCATGACCCACTGCGTGGGCCAATTGCGGATTGGTGGGTGCTAACGACTGTAGATGCAGCCGGGACCACGCGGCAATGTCTTGACGTTCCTTCCGAAGCACGGAGGAGCTCGAGATAATAAATTCTTAGTCAGCCATCCAATGTCCGGCCATTGCGAAAGTTCCTTAACTTCTACGATAGCAGGCCCAACGAGATAAACACCTGCGCCATCGAACTCCTCATACTTAGTGTATTCGAGAGGAAAACGCCGCTATTCCCAGTCTTCGATCCATAATAAAGCATACACAAAAAGTAATGTTTTCTCAAGACATTGTTGTTGACCGTGACTGTGTGACCGTGTTTTCTCAAGACATTGTTGATGACCGTGACTGTGTGACCGTGTTTTCTCAAGACATTATTGATGACCGTGACTTTGTGACCGTATTTTCTCAAGACATTGTTGATGACCGTGAGTATCTGACCGTATTTTCTTAAAACATTTTTGTTGATCGTGACCATGTAGTCGTGTTTTCTCAAGACATTGTTGATGTCCGTGTCTGTGTCAATGTGTTTTCTTATGACATTGTTTTTGACCGTGTGACCATGTTTTCTCAAGACATTGTTGTTGACCGTGACTGTGTGAATGTGTTTTCCTAAGACATTTTTTTGACCATGAACGTGTTTTCTCAAGACATTGTTGATGACCGTGACTGTGTGACCGTGTTTTCTCAAGGCATTATTGTTGACCGTGACTGTGTGACCGTGTTATCTCGAGACATTATTGTTGACCGTGACTGTGTGAATGTGTTTTCCTAAGACATTTTTTTGCCCATGAACGTGTTTTCTCAAGACATTGTTGATGACCGTGACTGTGTGACCGTGTTTTCTCAAGGCATAATTGTTGACCGTGACTGTGTGACCGTGTTATCTGGAGACATTATTGTTGACCGTGACCATGTGACCGTGTTTTCAAGACATTGTTGTTAACTGTAACTATGTGACCGTGTTTTCTCAAGACATTGTTTTTGACCGTGACCGTCTTTTCTCAAGATATTGTTGTTGAACGTATTGCAGGCACAATGCGCTTCGTGAGGATAACGCCCGACATGTCAGAGTCTGTGATCCAGCACTTGCGGGAGAGCTTCTTCGCGGACGAGCCGCTCAACAAGGCGGTGCGGCTGTGTGAGCGCGGCGAGCCGCACTACGCGCTCGAGCAGATGTGCCGCGCCACCATTGCTGATGGACTCTCGCTAGCCGCCATAGAGGAAGACTATGTCAGTATCGATTGAATGCTTTTTTCTTCCTATAATATAAAGGTCCGACAAATGACTCCACCCTACCTGGTGTTAAGTAATCTTGCCAACATGCAAGTTGCTTCTTCACGCCGCTTTTAAATAACTCGGGGTTGTAGGATAGATATACAAAATGGTGAAACCATATTTATTATATAAAACATAAAACATTTAATCACGAGCAAGAACAAAGTTTTCGAAATTACAGGTATTCAGCATGGATCTAGACAATGGAGCTACTGAGAGAGAAAATCTCCGTACGCGAGAAAGTATAAAAAATAAAGAGTTGCTTTTATATGTGGTTCCAGATCCTTGGCGTTTCTCTGAACGGTATACTAAAGCCGGGAGACATCGAGGAGGCGCTCCAGAAAATCAGACAATCTACCGACGAGAAGTTCAATAAGATATTCACCATTCTGTACACCCTGAGCAAAGATCTGGACTTGTTTGACAAGCTGGATGTAGACCGTATCTTGGAGTGCAGGATAATATCTGCATCGGACCGGGCGCGAGGCAGGGGACTGGGCAAGGAGATGATGAAACGGAGCATAGAGATAGCTGAGCAGGAAAACTTTAAGGTCAGTTCATTATACTGTTAGGTTTTTAAATTCTAAAGAAAATTTTACTGGAATAATTTCCATTCGATTCAAGTATCAGACAGGATCAGGATTCGAACCAGCGCCTTTGAATATCTTTCCCTTATGGGGGCAACGCGTTAGTGATACTCTGGTAAAACAAGCGTAGGTAATCGATCACAATCAGGCTAGTCTAATTTATGATTTACTAGTGGCCCGCCCTCGCTTCGCTTCGGTGTAGAGCTGTAGTTTAGATTATATTTTTGTTCTCAGGTTTCTATTAAACACAATGACTTTCTTTAAATACCTAATTACTAAAGACCGCCGCCGCCGGCCCCCCGGCCAGTACTGCCCGAACCGGTATGTTCCTGCATTTTAAATCTGTAATATCTTCGAAAATATTCATTTAAATTACATGCTGTAGAGGGTTATATTGATCTATATTACACGCGCAATGTATTTAAGGTACTTAATTGGATAAGGATTAATGCTGTATTGCTTAAAATCGCTTGTTCGTAAATAAGCCATTATTTTCTCGTAATAAGTAATTAAAAAATGGTTATTGTGGGTTATACCAAAGAGATAGGCATATACCATTGCGGACTTTTTTGTAGACCTTTTTAAGGTGTACAATACTGTAGTACATTATTTTGATCTATCTCGTTGGGTTCAGCCAGCGTTTGCAATGTAAGCGCAAAAAAATCTGTTTATTTACGACCTTATATTAAAAACCTCTAAAATTATCAGTGTTTCTCTACTATATTATGCATGTATTATACATATAAACCTTCCTCTTGAATCACTCTATCTATTAAAAAAACCGCATCAAAATCCGTTGCGTAGTTTCAAAGATTTAAGCATACAAAGGGACATAGGGACAGAGAAAGCGACTTTGTTTTATACTATGTAGTGATTGCACTAACTAACTAAAGAGAAACTGCCAAATAGCTAAATAAACTCTACCTGAAATAGACAAATGGCAAATCTTTTTAGTATAGTATTTCTGCATTTGGTTGCTAGAAATCCACAGCACAACAGGAGGACATTTATCATGGCCTCATTGACTATCTTGGCCATTAAACATCAAGTGTAGTACAGAAATAAAAGTATTGATATCGTTGTAGCGACAGTAAGAAGAAATATGTTTGGCAAAAATTAAGAAAATAAACTAAATCCCGCTGGAATTGGAGCGTCTGTCTGGGGAAGTAACCTCCACCTTACAGGAGACCACAGTTATATAACTCTACCTTTTGGTGGTGGTCGTGGGGGAAAATGTAACATACCTTAATAATCATCCCATGGTTTCGACTTTCATAGGTTCCATTTCACACCCCACATTTCACACACACCTTACCTTTTTTTAATTGTTAATCTGTAAATATTTTGTCTTGTAAATATATATTTCCTATACTGTACTTTTGATATTTCCTTCCTTTTATTTTTTTTTATCTAGATTTATTTTGTCGCTACACGACAAGTTGGCAAAGGTACGACTGGTATTTTTGTTATCGCAAACTTCTATAATGATGGCCGCTTACCGTCAGAACGGCCATGTGTTGGTTTGCCACCGTCATAACATAAAAAAAACATCTGGAGCAAAACATTTACGACTTACAAAAACCCATTTTCTTTCAGATATTCAAAGCGGACGCAACTGGAGCGTTTTCCCAGAAAATCTGCAGACATTTCGGCATGAAAGTGTTTGGTCGAGTTCGCTACGACGAGTATCTGGACAGCACTGGAAACCCTGTCTTCAACGTGGAGCCGCCTCATGAGGAGTTGGCTGTTATGATATTAGATCTACGTTGAACTTGATAGTGGTTATATATCATAGCCTCTCGTAGATCATTGTGCCTGCGAGTGTAGAGAATTTTCGTAAACCACGATTCCTGTTTTATTTCTATTGATTTGGCGTCTTTATTTGTGTTATAGACGCTGATGTGCAAAACACATCATAAATCAAACAGAGGAAGAAAGGGATTATAGTTTCCGAATTCTATCAAAATTCGGGAGCTTTGGAGTGGCGACTAAATGAAAGACGCGATTAGAGCAAGCCTCCAATCCTTCAGGAGTGGGGATGTGATCATTGAGAGCTATCGGCTAGCGGGAAACCTTTCCAATTTAGAGACAAGAGAAGTTGAAACTGTTTTCTATTTTCTATATTAATTAGGATGAGGGCATTATTTTTGGGAAGTAAATGGGCATGTCCAGATTAGTATTCTATGGGCTAATGATAAATGACAATCATCAGATGGTTACTTATTCTAGTCGCGGTTATTTGGAAAAAGCTATTTTTCATTGTATGTATGCATGCAATTGGCCATTTAATTTACCTGTTTTATTACATTAAATCTTTGTATATAATGTAATTTATTTTCGTTAATACGATCCGGTTCCAACCCACTAGATTTTCGCCGGAAAATATAGAAGCACTGTATTTTTTAATTAGATACTAAAAACAGATCAAACCACAGTGTTTTTTTTCAGTATTGTAAGTAGTTCATTCGCCAAAGGCTTTGTTAATTAGATTGTATATCATAACGAGTCTATAATATAAAACCACAGATTTTTGTAGAAATGCACAGAAATTGGGTGCAAACTTATAATATATCTATGAAAACTACTGATAAAAAATGATTTTTTTAATGGCATTGTGAATGCAAATTTTACTACAAATATATAGCTGCGTCTTAGTGCTACGCTAGACGAGCCGAGCACGAGCGGAGCGCTAGCCGAGCTTCTCGCTCGCAGTGTCAAGTGTGGACGTGCTACGAGCCTACAACAATCACTCTCCTCGAGCGCATTTTTTTTTGTTGAAGTTCTCCCGTTTTAGGGAAGGCAAAGGGAACAATGCCCATACAGCCTGGTCTTTAATTAAATTAATCTTCTTTTTGTTTTTACATTAGAATGTCGGTGTGACGCATTCTAATGTTTCTTGGAGTGTTTGGCACGAAACGTATCGAGTTGGCTTTTTCGATAAGCTTCTGTGAGGAAGTCAACACTACAATAAAATTCTCACGTCCACTTGACCGGAATAGCGTATATTTTAATGATTCCACTAATTCTTCAGTTACGCAGACAGTTGTTACACAAAACCACACCAATTTTATTTCACAATATCCACTATGAATGAATTTAAGAATAATTAAATTAAGACGCCAACCGCACTCGATGAAATCCCGCCAAAAACCTCTCTCCTCGAGCGCACTGCGAGTAGGGTTGCCAGGCCATAAAATGTAAAGGCCGGACTGCGCACTATATAAGGCCTGACGTTTTGCCCTAAAAGCCGGACATATTTATTATATCAGACAGCGGGGCGGGGTAGTCACGCTCACGTCACGCGCCAAGCGCGCGAACAGTTTGCTCTCTTGTCCGCTCGGACTCTCGTCCGCCCATCGTCGTACGATCGCCACTCCGACAAAAAGCCGGACAGGCCAAACACGTACATATTTGGCCGGACGCGACCGCAAAAAGCCAAACATGTCCCACCTGGACATGTTTGGTCACCTGGCATATAAGCCTAACTGCGAGTGCTACGCAAATCCCTTTGTGTTCGTCAAAACACCGACAACGGACCGAGCACGAGCCGAACGCTCGAAGCGCGCTTATTCGTTCCTCGTAAGCCGGCCTACACTACACGAATTACGGCTCCGCTAGTGCTCGGCTCATCTAGCACATACGCAGCTTATTGTGTTATAGTCAGTGTTGCCAGGTCTCCAGATTTTACAGGAGATCTCCTGTTTTTCTGAAAGTTCTCCTGTTCTACTGTTTTTCAACATGAATCTCCTGTTTTTCTTAAAATACGATTTTCTTTTTTAAATTGCATGTGGAGTTGCATTTTCGGCCATTAATAATATACGTAACCTTATTAATTTTAAAATAAATGTTATTGTCTAAAAAAAACTAGCTTTATGGGGCGGCAGAAGCCACAGAAACATAGTCGTTGTCGTTACTGGTCTTAAGTTTATCTTGATTTGATTTACCAATTCTAGGGGGGGTAACAAAAAATACGCCTCAGCATCTACTGTTTTTCTTGTAGCTCTTTCCATACATCTACTGTTTTTTTCTATAACGCCTCCCGATTTTTAAAAATTGGACCTGGCAACACTGGTTATAGTAACTATTTATTATATACGATTTTATGCTATTTAAGCATAAAATATAAAATCGAATATAAAAAATTCATACTCGATGTTTATTTTCATAAATTATTTTAAAGATGCTTTCTACTAAAATATTGTTGATGTGATTGAAAAAGATTTTTCTATAATACAGAAACTTCGTAATTTAATTACGAAACGTGTACTTAAGTGTTAGGTTTTTTTTGTAGGAAATTATGTGTCTATTACACACTGTTGTGTCTTATACGTACCAACATAGGTACCTATTTACTTCCGGCTATAGGTAAATTCTCATTTCGACAAAACGAATCGACTTCACGAGTTTAGATGAATACAAGTATTTTGACTAAGAAACCTTAACTAAATCAGTACCTCTAGCACGAACCAATATCGAATTCGTAACGTTTGCGAGTCGGAAATGTCATTGTCAAATGTGTACTGATTTTAAGTTCTCGTTACGTACTTTGTGGCGCTGCAGTTCAAGTTTCCATACAAAATTTGACAATGACATTAAGTATAAGTACTCGCAAACTATTAGAATTACAACACGAGCTAGGGGCACTGAATTGTCAAATATTCTGTTCTTAAATATATGACATTTAAAAATTTGTTATAATCCATTTAAATATTTTTATTACAAAGTTAACCAACTTTGACAAAATTAAACCTCTTTTTAGTCATACAGAAAGTTGTGATATATATTTGTAATTCTATGAAAGTATATTAAGATTGTGTTCATGTAACTGCTATTGAGCAGCTTCTAGGCTTCCTAACTGTCTTACATTTATTGTAAATAATTTAAGACTATAATAAAACTTGACCAATCGACAATAGTCAACTTAAACCTACTTGAATGATTTCAAAGCGCACACTTAAATCTGATATTTATATTTTTAAACTTGATATAATACACCTTTTTACACTTTTAAATTTATAAAGCATATTTAATATGTATTAAGATTGTTATATTATTATGGACAAAACTATTTTATTATAAAATACAATTAGACCGCACATAATTCACAATACTTGTAAAATTGTTCATAGTTTTTTATAAATTTTATAAAACTATTAAGTACTTAATTGAATTTCTTAACAATCTACATGCCGCAATTACATTTGGTCGCTAGCCTATATTCGGGTGCACGAAAGACATTACCCGAATTCGGGCACCCGAAGCAAAATTTATACTGGAATAAGGGGTAAGACGGTGTCGGGTAAACAGAAGGAAATCTACCCGAATTACGGGTGTACTCGACTCCGTTCATTAACATTTAGTCGTATACCCAAATTCCATTGGTACACGTATTCGGGTTATTGGCCAATTGTAATCACGCCATCAAGCTATTGGTAAATTTTTATGCCAATCAACTGTGCGATTTCTTTTTAATGTTCATCTTCCAAAATTTTCATCTTCCACAGTTTTCATACTGTCATTTCCGTTTAGCTTGGGCAATCAGAAACTTAACTTTGTTAATTGTTCTTTAACGCGCAGCTAATAACATCATTCTACCTGCAACGCTATTCTGTAATGCTAATAACAAACTCACTTTTCACCTCGGAACCCTCAGTGTGATTTAAAATTACAACCCGAATTTCAAATAAAAATCTAATCACACTGGCGAATTTCAGCGAAAAGTGAGTTTGATGTTGCAGAATAGCATTGAAGATTTGAAAGCCAAATACACGTTTATAACAAAAATCATGTCGCACAATTCGTGAAAGGTTTAAAATTCTTATTTTTTCGATTCTAGTATGCCGCATGTTATTTCCTCAAATGAAAGGAAAATATGGACTAGGAATGTTAATCTACTTGAATGTTAAAATATAATAAAAAAAATTGTGTGTGTCAGCTCCGACGCACGACTGGAGTTTACTCCTTAAGTTCGATAGTCTAACCAGATGCAAAAAGAGTTTATTTAACTTAAAAAAGATTGATACTGTATGAAAGGGTAAATTAACAAATTAATGAAAATAAAAACAGCAATATAAGTATGTCGACACTGATAGAAATAAAGAAACCCAATAACATATAGGTATAGTCGCTTTGCAGTATACCCTATGCCCTATACCCTACACTCACAACCAAATTAGAAAGTTGCGCGACATAGGATGCGCACCAAAAACGTAACGAGGTCATTCATCGATACATTTTACTCCTAACATTTTTCTCATACCGGGCCCCTTATATATGCAAATCGATTCTTAAGGAGTAAACTCCAAAAATGAAAGATTATTGTCTATCAGTATTACCTTTTGTAAAATATAATAAATACTTACTTACACCATTGTGTAATATATAAACTACATACTGTAATAATATTTAAATATCGATGTGTTTTACTGTTTGTAGAATGTTTACAATGGTAAAAATAAAATGTAGATACCTACTTCGAATGTATAAACTATAAAGGTGTACCTAGGACGAAGTTTTGATATTCACTGTCCCCTTAGATGAATAGTTTTCTAGAAACCAATAAGATTCGATGATAACGAATAGAATTATTAAGAATACTATACAGGCTGTCCCACGGCATAGCCACACGGAGGGAAAGCATATTAAATATCGAAAATAGGATATTTTACTGAAAGAAGACATCATTTTTTTGACGTGACAACGTCTTAAATTAGGTTGCGGCTGGGAGTCACTTATGAAAAAGTGTAACGCTCGGTAACGTTACGATGAGTCTCTCGTGTTAAGTTTAAGTTTACATGTACAATGTTTTAGTAAACAAAATATATTTCTATAGTTAAAATTTGTGCAATTCTTATTTTCATTCAATTCCTTGTTCCTATTGTGCAATTTAATTATATTCATATCAATAAATATTCTACCGAGAAAAAGACGTTGTCACGTAAAATCTTCGCCCGTAAAACCGACTTTACAGGCAACCATTTTTTTAATAATAAGTAGAAATGCATTCTCAATTTTTTTTAAAATCGCCTGCCCCAACCGGGAATCAAACTCGTGAAATGTGAAAATAAAACAAATGTCGTATTTTATGATAACCGTCGAAAGGGTAAATTATAAGTATTTTTTTTTCTAAGTAACATAGCATTTTAAATGAAAGGAAGATCATGAAATGAAAATGTTGTTTTAGCCTTTCGACTATTTCGATGTTTTTTTTCACATTTCACGAGTTTGAAACACCGTTATGGCAGGCGATTTAAAAAAAAAACTGTTAATTCAGTTCTACTTAGTAATAAAAATAAAATGATGTCTTCTTTCAGTAACATTCCTATCTTCGATATTTAATATACTTTCCCTTCTTGTGACAATGCCGTGGGACGCCTTGTATACCACCTATCCTTTCGAAAATACAACAAACTTGACGACTCGTTGGGGTGCAAACGCAGCAAAAGGGATTTAGTCGGTCAGTTAGATTCATTTGGGTTGTCAAAAATAACGGACAGGTTTTTTTCTTTCTTTTGTCAATCAACCAAAAAATGACATAGATAAAGCGCGTCAAAGTAGGGGCTCGTAACGTCACATCTAAGTTAAAATTGTAAAAAGATGTGACGTCACGCGAAAATTCAAATCCATATAAATGTGTTATCTTTTGATTATGTAAAAAAAAGAAAAATACGTGTCCAATACTGTTTGGTAATCTATCATATTTTATTTTTGTAATTTTTCTTGAATAAATTATTATCATTTTTAATTATTATTATTATCTGATGGACGAAGAAAAAAATGTTAGTCACCATCCCTATTCCACATTTTGCTTCGAAACTTATACAAGATCGCAAATGGATTGTGCAGTAAATAGTTAAGCTCGAGCACTTGTATTGTAACAGCGTTAAAAAAATGTACCCGAAATTATATACACAGTATAAGCTCTGCTTAACTTGGTACTACAAATAACTAATACAAATGTATGAAGTATCCCCGAATTTACAGTAGTTAGCGAGAGTGCTACCATGAACGTACGTTGTTTTTTGCAAGACTAATATTTCGGTACTGTTGTAGGTGCCATGATCACGGAGTTGCTTTGCGCCGTGTGCAAGTGCCGAAATATCGCGCACTCTCATAAAACAATACACGGTATAATCTCACATAATATTAGTAATCATGAGATTAAAAAACAATTATCATATCCAAGTTTAAGTGTTTATTAACAAACATCTATAGCTGGAGACTGACTAGTAACATGTTGGTGTAATGTATCGAGTTTGTGTAACACAAACCAAAGACTGACATGTAACGTTAGTTAACGAGCGCCGCGTACTCCACTCGACGAAGCCGCAAAGAGTATGTGTGTGTTGCCGTAAATGTACAAGTCGGGGCACGTAATTCTAGCCACGGTAATATTATCTATACAATATTGTGACTCGGCCCTGTCCTTGAAAAAACTGCCTACGGCCGAGCGGGGCGTATCCACGCGCTAGGGCTGCCC